ATAAAAATTGCAATATACCTGTTGTAAAGGGATTCTATTGAATTCACAAAATTTGATTTGAAATATCATTTAAAATTTATCAAAATTAAAGTGTTACAATGTTTTACAAGTGTTACAATTTGATATTCCTTTATATAAATTAGTAAAATACAAAGGTAGAACATATTTCAACCCATCTTACTATACTTATTATGTGTAGTCAAATCAAAAATTAAATAAACATAATAGCAGAACAGAAGGACTAATTATTCTTATTAATAAGCCAATTTATCTATTAAGTTTACCCAAAAGTATTTCCATAATATTATATACATTTATTTCGTGCGAGTAAGTTTTAACTTTTTTATGTTAAAGTCACATATAGAGAAATAGTCAATTAAGTAAATAGAATCGTTGTCATCGTTGATTTATTTAAATTTTTTTCATTTTTTACAATTGTATACAAAACAGAAAAAATTGTTTAAGAAAATATTATAAATAAAATAGAACTTATCTGCTATATTTATATATATATATATATATTTTTTTTTATTTTGAAATAAGACAATAGAAAATCACATACGTTTAAAATAAAACGACATGTTTAAAATATTTTATAGCAAAAAAAAAAAAGAGAAACTAAACATAATATTCAAAAGTCCTTTTATTTTTCCTATACACAATATTTTTCAAATGAAAAAATAGAGATTTTTCTTTGAAAAAAAAAACATAATAAGTATTTGTATGAAAAGACAGACATGAATAATAACAAGTAAAGAGCAAAAAGCGTTTTTAAGTGAATGAAAACGAACGAAAACAAAATGAATTCCAATAAAGGAACGAAAAACAAAAATGAAAAAAAAAAGAAAACGAAAATAAAGAAAAGTGATGCTAGGATGTTAATAAAACTTTCAGTGCTTCCTATTTCTTTTTTTTTCTCTCTTATATCTTCCTTAAATACACTAGGGGTATTCTCAGTTAAAAAAAAATAAAGAAATCTAAAAATGAATAGAAATTGCATTCAACAAGTTGCAACAATTTTCGTTACAAAAGGGAGTAGTCTTTAGAGAATAGTAGTTGTTTTCTATTTATTCACTTTTTTGGTTTTGGCAAAATAACAGCTTGAATTATTTAATTTTCTATTAATTTAATACTAGGTATTTTATTATTGCAAAGCATATAAAATTACTTTAAGTATTTTGAAAATTTTTAAATTTGAATGAACCTTAAACATCATAATTTGTATAATAAAAAGTGAAACTATTCGATAATAAAAATATTTGACTAAAACAATTCTCAACTCGTATGTTGTTCGTATGAATGTTATTATGACAATAAAATTTAAACAATGTATTAAAATGAAATATTTTAAGAGAACAGTAAAAATGCTTTAACAGATTTGATAATGTCAACAGAATGTCAAAAAATAGTTGTCAAAATGTTTATACATGAGATATATTATTTAAAGAAATTATTAATACTATATGAATTCAAAATAAAATTTATATTTGTATTGTTTATGCAAGATTTTATTTGTATAACAGAATTACCTAAAATGAATGATTCTGTTTTTTAAGTCAAGTTTCGTGAAATTATTCTTACACTATAAATATTTTACAAAATAAAATTGTAATAAAATCAGCCCAAATTAATAACTGTTGTAAAAAAGTTACTCATTTCACTTTATTGATTAGACATGTTTCATTTTAATAAACTTTTTAATATAGTGCATAGCAATGAAAAATTAAAAAATGTGGGAAAATTGAAATTATTTATAAAAAAAAAAATTTTAAATAAGTACTTAGAATAGTAATAGTGTAGAAAAGTTATTATAATTTATGTGCTTGTACAAAACAAAAACAAAATAAAACAAAAATTAATACGCCTTGAAAAGAAATTAAAATAATGGTGAACAAGATTTGAACCAACTGAATTCAAAATATTTTAAGACAAAATGTGGTCAAAAAATAAGCAAAGAAAACAGTTTGAATAGTCTGAATAATAAAGAAACTCAAAGAGAATAGTTTGAATAATAAATTTAATGGAAAAATTAAAAATAAATAACAAGAAATCAAAAGTCACTCAGATAGAGATTATAACTCGACAATTAACAAAAAATAAATGGAAAGAGTAAAGGAACGAAGAAGTGTTCGAGTAGATTTTACTTGTATTTTAATTTTTTTTTTGTCATTTGTTAATTCTTTACCAAGAAAAATAAAATTTGTGTTTAACAACAGCTTAATAACAGTTAAAAAAATACCCAGTAAACAAACATTCAATATTTTTTTCAAAATTTATAATAAAAAATAAACGATGAATATTACACTTAATAAATATTAAAAAAAAATTTTTTAAAAACCTTAAATTTAACTTTTAACTAAACTTTCAGCAAAATTTCATATGTACAATCAAAAAAGAAAACCATAACATTGGTAAAATTTTAAAAATATTTTTCAAAACATTTTATCGTATATGAAAAATTATTCAAAAGAAATGAAAACCTTTATTCTTTTTAACAACACCTAAAAAAAACAAAACAAAACAACGACAGCCTATATTCAATCAATAAAACACTGAAATTTAAAATTGAATTATATTATGCGGAAATTTGTAGTTAAAAGTTGCAATTGCGGCAAATAAAATGAAATCTGCCTAAATGCAAAATAAATCAAATAGCAAAATGAAACAAAAGGAATCAAAAAACAAAATCGAAACAAAAAGAAGAAAAACGGAAATCAATTAATAACAACTATAAGGATCGCTAAGTGCGACGAAAGCTATCATAGAATTCATTACAAAAATTCTTATTTAAACTCAAACGAATGTTAGACTTGAAAATTTTTGCAGTCATGTGCAGTTATCAAGTCTGTAAGTAAATATTATCTACTGTAATGTATGTACATAATATGTAAATATTATTCAGAGTCTAATAAAACAGCGGTCACTCTCATTTTTATGACAATATACTTCATTATGTGTGCTTTATTATTATAATTAAAATAAAAGAAATAGAATAGGAGGTAGACCTGTGCTATTTATCAATAAAAATTGCATTATTTTGAAGTGAAAGAATAAAACAAACAATTTTTTAATTAACAACAAAACAAAACCAAAAAAAAAAAAGACTTCCGTTTCCATTCATTAAAAATCCTTTGAAAATTTATTTTTCCTAAGGGAATTTCCTATTAGCAACAAAAAGACAAAAATTAAAAACACTGCACTAAATTTTCCAATTCAATATTATTTTCTATAAACTATTATGACTAGTTTTTTAAATTAGGTTAAAATTTTTATAAAATACATTTTGGTAGTTTTATATGGTTAATATTTTAATATTTTTAATTAAAGAATTTTTGCCTATAAGTGACAATGAGATTGCTGGGCCATTATTTAAATATTTATAATAAGGTATAAATAAAATTTTCTTTATTTTATTAAAAATTAAATACTTTTAATAAATTAAATCAAAATAAAATCAAAATAAGACGATCATATTACTTGATTTGAAACCAAATAGTGCAAAACACACTAATTAATTATATTAATAACAAATAATTTATAAAAGACGTTAACCAAAACAGAAAATATTTAATATTTCATATTATTTACTTCATGGAGAATCTTTTCTAAGTATAGAATTTAGTAATAAAATCAATATCAACAGTTTTTAAACTTTATTCAAATTTTGGAAAATAGATTTAAAATCAAATCTTTTTTGTTTTATATAGAAAATCAGAACAAGAATATTCATTTACAACCAAATATAAAATAAATAAAATGGTAGCTTTAATCAATTAAAAACTGAGTACCAATAGAGATTTGAAATATTTGTGAATTTTTATACCCGCACTAAAAATGAATTTTATTAATAAAATCTAATTCCCATTGTATATACCAAATTTATTTGATATCAATGAAAAAATTCGTAATAAAATAAAATAAATGGAATAAAATAGAAATTTGTTATACATTTCATACTGACAATTAGAATAAAATACTACAAAAAAATTCAATAAAATTTTTATTGAATGAAACACTAGAAAATTAATTTGGTATTAACGACTTCAAAATTTTCAATCTAAATTATAGACTTTAATTGGAAATGATACGAAAAAATTGTGGCTAGAATAAAACTAGAATTTTTCACATTCGTAAAGGCAAATGAAATTACACTCAAAGAGGTCATTTCAGGAGCAATAGATCTATAAATTTTATACAAGTTAAAGTTTCTATTAGAAGAAGAGAAATTTCCTTAAATTTATATTTAATTAATAATTTGACGTTAATTCGGAATTGTTAAAAATTATTGCAATTTAAACCTATTTAGGCAACTAATTTAATAAGAAGAAATCCATTTCTAAAATTTTAAATATTCAAAAATTTAAAAATAAAAAATTAAGGAAGAATGTGAAGTGACCTAACTGTAGGAACTTGTTCTTTTCTTTTTTCATAAAATAAAGGAAATTCGAAAATTATATTAGTACTTATACTTAATTAAAGAAATTTAAAAACAAAAATTAAAATTTAAAAATTTATAAGTTGAAAACAATTAAGAAAACTTAAAAAAAAAAATACTTTAAATTTTTGCTGCAAACATACTTTTCTTACTGCGTTAAATTGTTAAAAATTAATTTAAATATTGTCCTTTATAAATTAATAAAATAAATTTACATAAATTTTATATAATAAATACGTTTAAAATTTATAATAAATGCTTAAAAATTTAATTGCATACAAAAATAAATTTAAATAGAGAAAACAAAATATTTTTTTTTTCAATTCAATAAGTATACAAGTTTTAAAAACAAGAAATTACAAGCGAAAATTAATTAAATATATTTTTAATTAAATAAGAGTAAATATGTAAATATAGAATTCAAAAAAAAAAAAAAAAAAATTATTCATTCAAAACATTGATTTTAATATTTTATAGTTTTTAAAAATTAACTTATATTATATTATACAATTATAATAATTAATTTATAATTAAAAAATTATTATAAAGATATTTTTAAACTTACCGTAAATTCACCTGTTACAGCATCAAAACCGACATGTACTGTATGCTCGAAATTTGTTGGATATGATATATTTGGTTTAGAATCATTATGTGATGGTTTTGAACCTTTTATTTTATTTTTTAATGTTTTCTTTTTACGGTCCGGATCATCTGGTTCTAAAATTATAATAAAAAACTTTAATATATTATAAAATGTATAAAGAAGAAATAAAAATGGCGAAAAATTTAAAATATTAAAGATTCTACATCCTAATAATGGGCGTCATACAAAATACCTGATAGAAATTGTAATTTAAATAGTCTTAAACGTAAAAACTTTTTGTGCATGAATAATTTTAATTAATAAGAATTGTCCCTACATTAAATTCTAGTACTATAAAATGAAAACAACAATTTGTTAAACTGCATTATGACACCCATTTAAAAGTAATAATTTCAAGAATTTCAATATTTTAAAAATAATAACAAAAATTTTAATAAAATTTAATAATTTATATTATTAATTATACCTTTCGGAAGAGGTCTCATATCAACTGGTGGTCCTCCATCTCCGACACGATCACAACCACCCCGATTACTTGTCAATCGTACAGGAGGCGCTGGCGGTTTATCCTCTTCACTTGACATCTTAACGGATGTTTCTGTTCTTAGTTTTTTTTCTCTTTTTCTTTTTTAATTAAATTTTTCTTTACTCTTAAATAATTTAATATTAAATGCTAATTTATTTTTTTTTTCTTTTAAATTTTAATAAATAAACGGTAGCCAACTGAAACGAAACAAAAAAGAGAAAAACAAAAAAATTAATTAAGTGCCTTTAAAAATTTTTTTACAAAATAAATTCTTAAAAAAAAATTAATATTAACATTAATTATGAAAATTATGTATACTTTTCTATAAAAGGATTGTGTAAATTATTTTTTATTTGAAAGAGCAATGTCTTGTTTAATGAGAGATACAAGCTTTTTGTAAAAAAGAAATTAATAGAGCAGACTTTTTATACTTTATATTTTAGGAGCGTCAATATCTCGTGATATTTTTTCTAAAGAATATACAAATTGTTCAGTTCATCAAAATGTGGAGACTTTACTTTTGGTTCATACTTTTATTATGTCTTTTGATCTTTTCAAGTTTTGGGAACTATTATTCAAATTATATTGCATAATTTTTTTTTAAGTTTTTAAAGTAATTTTGTTTTTAAATTTCATAAAGTACCGAAATATAATACAAAACAAAATATTTGAAATCTAAAAGTACACTCATCTATATTTATCTTCTTGCCTATATGTACGCGTGGATACAAATATATATATATAAATATATACATATAATTTATCTTAATATTGCAATAAAAAAGAAATATTCTTTGCACGTTTTCATATTGTATAAATGTTTATGTAGACTTTTTTGAACATATAATAAATATATAATAACAATAAAAGAAAAATTTCACTAATACATGTAAATATGTACATTTTCATAAATACAATAATCTGTATATATGTATACACATATTATACATATAAGTAGTTGACATTTAATCCTTCGAAGGATTTTATTTTGAAAATCATATTATGCATAATGTTATACTTATATATATATATAAAAGATTGTGATGGATATGTTAATTTTTGCTTTTCCTTATCATTTTCAAACATAAACAGTTATCTATCATTCAAAATTCTGTTAAATATAACTAAAGGCCCAACAATTTTAATCAATAATTTAGATACTTAAGTATAAATATGCATAATATGTATATATGTATGTATATACATATCTGTGGTTGCACACAAAAACTATACATATATACATACGTAAAACGATTTTGATTACAATAAAATGGTTTAAATAAAATTTAAAATAACTATTGAAGAACAAAAGAGACAATTAAAAATAATTTTTTTTTAAAATAAATCTGCACGAACAACAGCACGAATTCGATTTCTATCGGTGTCCTACAGTTTTGAAAAGAAATTGATTGAAAATATAGAAAAAATGCCCTCGAATTAAGAACGAATGAAGTGGCTGTATCCGTAAGTATGGGTTCGTAATCCTTACGAACCCATTTCCCGTTAAACCCTTAGCATTTTCGGTGTCTTACATAAAAAATTTTAAATAGAAGTTATACTCGGCTAAATTTTAAATAGAAGTTGTATTGCGACTCCCCTCTGCGTGCAGGGCATACCCATAAAGCAACCGCTTGAAATCCACCCTACTGATGAAGTCGGGCACTTTGTATGATCGAAAGGCTGCAACATCGCCGACTTCAGAGCAAAGTCCACCAATATTCCCTTCTTCTATAAGAGAGAACATCACGTTCTCCCAGAAGGTAAACGGAGGTATCCTAATATACCCCATAGAATCTGTAAATGTCTTCATTTTCCAGACCCCGCTAACATGAGATATCCCTTAAGTCTGATTCTTGCCCAACCGTATAGTTTCTTAAATTATAATCTCCCAAAAGCGCCTTGACTTGCCGCAGCCAACGTAATACTTTATAAATTAAAAAATATTTTAATTCCTGATCATTGTTTTTACATTAACAAGCAAATATTTTTGAAAAATTTAAATTATTTGTCCTTGAACTGATTATTGCTGCACACTTTAAGGGTGTACACAAAAATTAAATCAAGCTGTAGAAATGTGTGTAACATAATATTATGATATGATGTACTTATGTATAAAAATAAGTAGTTCTGATTATTTTTTATTCTCAAACCTCAATTATTCGCGAATTAAATAAATATGAAATTTAATTCTTTAAACAAATTGCCCATTCGTTTTTATTTTTCTGTTATTATATAATTTTTAAAATCAAAACCATAACAATAAATAATACTTTGACTTACACAAATATATCGTGGGCGGTTTTGATATTTAGAAAATTTTTATATTTTACTTAATATCTTTATATGATATCAACCTTAAACTTTAAAAAAACAGAAAAATAATAAAATCGTGACAGTAAAAAAACGTTTATCAATGTACATGCACACATATAAATTTATCTACTTAGTCATGTACATACAAATTTGTTGTTTTCTTGAGTGCATTTGCATGTGGGTTAATATAACGTAAAGTTGCATAAGTAATTGCTAAGTATGTACATATGTAGGCAAAATAAATATAATAGTATTGAATGTAGGGAAATTGTGTCAAATTTCTTGAACATATGATTTTACTTTATTCTAAACTTCAATTCAGAATCATTTTGATATTGTATTTACTTTTGCTTTTATTACGAGTGCATTGAATGTTGGTAATACAATACAGTAATGTACTTGCAAAATTTACATGCTTTAACATATAAATTTTTTTTTATATTGCATAAAATGAAATCATCTTAATTTTAGTACTTATTTAAGTATTTAACCATGTTGCAAGAATTACATTTATTACATACTTATTTTAAATTAAAAAACATCTAGTATACTTGTTTTACTACATGACTGGTGGTGACTTGGTGGCCTAAAAAAAGCGCTTTCCGACAATAATGTGCTTCTAATACAGCAAGCTAATCATTTTAACTTTGGAGTGGAAATATAAATTAACAACAAACATGGTCAACATCTGATGAAACGAAGTTTTATTTTTCTGGACAGACTTAGTTTGTATGCCTAACTCTAAAAGCTAAGCTGAACCGTAAATTTAACATTAACGAAGGAGTGAAGACAACTACTGCATTTTATTAGTATCAAAAAGTCATCCGGAATAGATAGAATATGCACCAAAATTATGAAGCAAAGATAATATGTGAGGTCAAGCGAATGAATTCACACTGATTAATCAGTTTGAGGGTTGTACTTCCCGTAGTAAATTAGCGAATAGCCCTTTTTCTATCTTCTAGACTATTTAAATATCTTTAAATGAAAATTGGTCTATTCTAATAGTTATAACTAATTATCGAAATTAGACATGTTTATTTTCGTAAAATATTTTCTTAATGAAATGGTGGGACAGTATTCAATCAATGAAACTGTATGGAAAAGGGCAAGCGAACAAATAGTGTACTATGATAAGAGTATATATACTTAAGAGTTTTAGCAAACCGATACGAAATATCATCTGCAGCAAAGGAAAAGACGATGATACATCTCATTGGCTTCTGTCCAGTTTTAGCGAAGAATAGACACAGTCTTATTTACACTGGTACATAAAAGCACATTGATGTCCTACAGGATCTCAAAGAGTTCATATCGTTAGGTTCGGGATGAAGTGATATAATAAATAATGTTAACGTAAATATAGTTTAATTTTTCAAAATTTGATTTTCTTAAGAAGCTAAACTTTTTAACTTCTTTACAAAAGAAGAATACTTATTCATAATAATAAACTATTTTAATGGAAATTGCGTTTTATGCGTACTATCTGTTTTGCTTTCATTTTACTATTACATATGCAACTGTACATATTTTTTTTTATTTCCTACTTATCCAATTAGAACTTATATATGCATCTTTGCCAGAACATTACATAGCGTAATAATAGAACAGAATAGTGCATATAAAATTAAATACTTACACTCTATATTTATATTTGTTACCAATTTTTCACATTTCATATTTTCTAATATTTTAAAACCATTATTATATTGAAAAAAATTAGTTCAACTCGATTAAATACAAAACTTTACTAATAATACTTAAATACATTTAAGTAGTTTACATATAATTTGGTTGTAATGTATAAATGTACCTATATATAAGCATTCGTATATAGGTAAATGCTTTATAATTCAATTTTTATTTAAAGTTTTAAAATGTCTACTTCTATATGATTGCATTAAGTACTTAATATAATATGTAAGTAGTCCCCACCCATCAAAGCAAAAGAAATGGAATAAGTCAAGCGTTTATTTCTTGAATTTACAATAATAAAAATGAAAAAAAAAATTTCTTTTTTAACACTTACTTGGAAATTTTTTAAACTAACAACATATTTTAAATAAGTGCGATGTCTAGTTATGCATAGAGATTGTTATAATTTTTATGATCGCTAATGTAATTTTAAAATAACAGGAATAGTGCAGTAAAGTAAGAATATTTCTAACATTTCAATTATTTGTAATTTGTTTTTTTTTCTTGTAATTATTTTAAGATATTCAATCATTAAACTTCCAGTCTTTGTTATATTATCACAATTAAAAAATTAAAAAAAAATTTGCAAGAACGTGACAAATTTTGTCGCTATTTTATTATTTTTTATAGTATGTGAGTACAATCGCAAAAAAAAAAAATTAAATAATTGTTGAAATTTAACATGAATTAGTTATGAAGTTTAAAACACGTCATACTTTCATAGAAAATCTTACGTAATACATAAGAACGATTTATGTTTATTTACAAAACGTTTAAACATCACATTTACAATCATCGAATCATATTTTCATTGACAGTAGAAGTTCAATTGATTGCAACAGGGACTGTAATATTTTTATCATATTTAATTTAAAATTAAAATAACTCTTATTGTTAAATAATGACTGAAATACGATAAGACTTTACTATTCAAAAAACCCCACAAAAATTAATCTAATGGAGTTAGAACAAATCTAGAGTTGAAACACAACATTCAGAACGAGGTTATTGCACCCCATATGATAATATGTGAACGACTCCATAAAAATTTTAATTTTCGTATAACAGTCGGTTGTGTTGTACATTTAAATTGTATTATTTTTGACATCTATGTAATTGTAATATTTTTACTAAAAATAATGAAAGATTATAATACTTATCTGAGTTTTTTTATGTTCTAACTCAAAAC